TTCACGCATGCCTGAAAGGCCACAGTAAAGTGAAACGGATCACATGCGCTGCCACAGGCTGAAACCAAAGTGTTCGTGGAAACGCCCTGATGGAGCACGCCATTCCACGAAGAGACACCAAAGTGATGAGCACTTTGCACCCAGAATGGAGATGCCATTCTAAAAATAAGGACCTAGAGGATCATCACCCGAAACCAAGGATAAAGAAATAGAGAGGAATTGCTGTTCCTCACCAGGTGTGACTTCTATCACTGTGTCTTGTCTGTCTGGGGGGAAAAGGACCTTGGGAGGTTGTGTGGTCTGGAGAGCTGAAAGAGAGAAAAGAGAGGAAGGAGATCATCATTAAAAGTGTGCTGGGCTTTGGACATAACATATATTATCACTTTACAGAGTTGCCATTTTTAGAAGGAAACATTCATTTTACAACATTACGCTGTTGATAGAAAAACAATGGAAAACCACAGCTGTACTGCAGGCGTAGAGCCCGAAAGTGCAGTGTTTTGTCAGGAAGAGCCCCGAGGGAGAGCTGACCGTTGCCCCCATCAATTGATCAACGGCCTGCAGTATCACAAAGCCAAATATAAAGAGAATGGAGCTACCCAGCTGTCACACCAACTAGATGCTGCCTCAGTCACAGAGACAGCTCACAACACAACTTTTCTCACCTAATGATTCCTTCTTGTCCCTGTGCAGGTGAACCTGTTGATGAACTGCCTTTGTCCTCTGATGACCAGCAGCGCTCTCTGCTTCCACTCCTACCACCTTCCCATTTTACCTCACTGACTCTGAAAAGCCAGCGCACCGTGCTGCCCGACACCTTCCCCCCCTCACCACCTCCCAGTGTCTAACAATCCTCAATACTGCTGTCCTCCTTAAAAGCCTGTCCTATTCCACACATAATTTATTCTGTGTCTGAGCACATGAAGGTGGTTTCCGGAGTTAACTAAGCACCAGCTGATTAACTCATATTGTGATCATTAAAAATGAGTTACTATTCAAAGTCTTGGCTTATATGGAAACAATTCAGGGTTCAGTGTCTTGCATAAAATGCCCTGTCATACAGGAGGAGGTGAGAATTAACATCAACCATCAGTCAGCTGGGTTGTAGAGCTATTAAAGCTTCTTACATTTAAGAGCTGTTCAGCAGATTGTAATTCAAACAGCCTCAGAGGAGACCAGACTCCTGCACCACCTGTGAGCTCTGTTTTTAAGCTTTACAAAATCTAGGCCATGACAAGAGACTTTGGCCAATTACGTGTCTTTCAGACCAGATCTGGTGCTGCATAGGCGATTAGGCACAATGGTACAATATCACAAGCACATCACTGAACTTCTACCAGGAAGTGTGGGGTTACAATCCTGCATGAAGCCAAACAAACGTAGATTTTAATCCATATGATCATATGCACACGTGCATTACAGCAGAGCGATATATATTTTTCAGATTATAGTGGTTTGGTTCTTTTCTAGCTTTATCCAACTTTATTTTATTGCCAAATGTTTGGTGGTGCGAGATTTGCTCGAGCAGAAAAATAAAGATTGCAAGTGTTATGTGTGAAAATCAACACTTGGTTCATTTGATACATTTTTTCAGCATCCATTAGACATAAACAAGCGCAAGAACAAAGCTGAGGCTTAATATCAGGAGTAAATATAGAGTCGAAAAGCACTCGCTCACCTACGACGCCTTAATTACTTTGACTTTTAGGAAACAGATAGTTTCCCACGTTGGATTAAATGCTCTTTATGTGACTTTTGCAGCATGGCAGAAGCACTCAACACGGGTTTCTCTTTCCGTCTCTTTTTCTTCTTTCTTTTCTTTCTCTACTTCTTCCTTTCCTCTCAGTAACACTGTCAATCTCTCCATCGCTCCATCCTCGTGTTTCTGTGACAAGACTGATAGTTTCATTTGCATTCTGAAGGTGCCGCTGTGCCCTTTTAAGATTAATGAGACAACCCTTCACCTAGACCTACTCTTGTTCTCCTCTCTTCTGTGCTCCACTCCTCTTTTACTTTCCTCTCCTCTTTCACAATCTTCCCATAATTTCGCTATACACATCTATACGACCGCTGCACAGATCCTCCCCCATTTACAGTTGTAAGTCTTTCTGGCTTACTGTGTTTCAAATTTCATGGCTCACAATTTCATTTGGGAGCTCATGTGTCCCTTTGTGAAAAAACAACGGTGCTGTATCCATGTTTTAATCGTCTATATATCTTTATGTGCGGTAAACTGTCCTTTTGAATATAATATTTCCATAATCTCCCATTTTGAGTTTGGACTTTGCTTCCATGTGTCATGTGGTTAGAAAATCAACAGTACATGCATGTGTCAATTCTCTATGAAAAAGACTAAAAATTGTGTATGTGAGTGTTCTGAGTCTGCGCTAACTTGAATTAAAATCAAAGGTCTGCTTCAAATAGATGTTAATGATGGGGTTGCTGTTTACGTGTATCAGCCAGGCTCATAGAAAGGCAGCAGCAGGAATTAGAGATCCCTGAACTTTTGAAAATGGTTGCTTGTGTCGAAAATTACAGGACACCAGTGATGCAGAGGTTGTGTTTTGTCGGTGCTTACGTGCGTGCTAGATGCGTCACATGATTAATTTCCACCACGCAGCAGTGATTCACAATGGCTAATTTCAGTCTTTGTTTTTGTACTTCTTTACCATCTAAGAAGCGATGAACGCATAAAAAATTCATAGGACAGAACAACAACACTGTGTTTCCACAATTCATTGTAACTCACTGCTTTTCGGTTGTGTTATTGTTTAAATCGATGATGAAATGGAGAGGTGTGAGGACACAAATGGAGACTGAAAATACCAGAAAACGAAAGCAAAGAGGACCTGCTGAAAGAATATGCTTGGGATTTGTTTTTTTGGCTGTACTGTGTAGAAAATAAATGTAAATTTCAGTCATCAGCGAGAAGTAGTAGTAAACATTTGGTTTATCAAAACTAAAAACAGTTGCTGCTGGAAATGAGGTTGTTGAGAACAGGACTGGGGCTGAACTAAAACTAAACAACAATCAAAGATAGAAAATTGAATTCCAACACTTTTCAGTCTGAGTTTGACGATGGAGGACAGCAGCAATTTGATCTACTGGGTGAAAACTGATTGTGGAATAAGTGGCGTGAAATGGTTTGCCATCTACCTCACACTTACTGATAACTCAAAGAGCTTTTTAGCCACATTTGGTCTAATTTGACTCATGTATTCATAAAGCACTTTATTCTATACGCTTAATTGACCTTTTATTCACAACCATAACCAATTTAGACTCACCACTGAACCTGACACGCATCTGTTTGGGTTGTGGTAGGAAACAGAGGCAAGCCCTGCAGGCACTACCAATGGCCGGGGGGTTAGGAGGTTCAAACCCAGAGTCTGCATGCTGTGAGGTGATTCTGTTAAAAGGGAGTTTTTCCTTCCCACTGTCACCAAAGAGCTTGCTCATAGGGGTCATATGATTGTTGTTTTTCTCTGTATGTATTACTGTAGGGTCGACCTTACAATATGAAGCACCTCGAGGTGACTGTTGTTGTGATTTGGAGCTGTATAAATAAAATTGGACTGAATTGAAAATGATTCTTTACTTACTCGAACATAATGTTTCTGTGATCAACGCAGACATCTGTCATAATATTTCATTATGGTTGCTAATATTATTATAGCAGTTTTAGTATATTTCTGTATGCATATATGACTTTTCTCTTCTTTTTTATTAGCCAGCACTGTAACTAAAAAAACTAATTACCAAGAAAAAAACACAAGTACTCAAATGGCATCTGTCTCAGTGGTGTGCTGTTTCTGCTGCACTTTGGGTTTCAAATAAGACCTTTTATAGTTACACAGTTCACTGCAGTGTGGCACATTCAGCAGGGCACAGTAATAATCACGTGCTAGACCCCACATAAAGTAGACAAAGTTTATTTTAGTGCAGTTTTTACAGAGGATGCTGTATAACCTTTGGCATTTTTGTTCAATTCAAGGAAGCTGTAAATGCGTGCACATCCCTGTTGTTATATATTACTGTGTGAGGGTCAGAAACTTTAGAGCATTTCCAAGTAATTTGAGCAACATGTCTGTCAATAAGAATCACCCAGCTCTGATCATTTTAGCTCTGCAGGTGCTCACATAGATTAAACCATTGCTTTCCTTCAGCTTGAATCTTGGATGGAAGAAAAACTGTTTATGTCATCAAACCAAATGTGAACTGCTACTCGAATTTGAAATTTTTGAGACATAGCTCTCCTGTTAGCATTAAAAACAATATTACAAATCAGTGCCATTTTCTCAACATAATGATCATTATTCCTGCTGCCTCGCCCGTAATATTTGGGACTGCAAATGGAATGACTTCAGCATTTCAAGGGTTGCTTGATTTTTGACCTTTTGAATGTTCATGTCCACAGTAATGTTGTTTTTTTTCTTCTGCAAAGAAAAAGAATAAGAAAAAAACTGAAACCAACTGGTTGAAAAAAGGCACCCTGTTCTTGCATGCATACTAGGTTTACATTCGGTGATTCTCAAAACTAAAGATTTGAGATCCAATAAATGTGTAATTTTCATTCCTCATTAAATATTCTCTGGGCGGTAAATGCTCAGAAACATCAAATAATGAATTATCATATGTTCAGGCCAGAAGGTAGACAAAAGGAAGCTTTTGTCTACCTTTGGCCTGGTTGACTGTATATTAACTGGCTGTGAATGACTGTTAATGTAATCTCAGCCAAAGCGCTTGCTGTGGACCGATCCACTGTGTCATTCCTCCTCTTCTCAAAAGGCAACAGAAAAAAAGGCGCACATTTTGTGCTGTTAAGTGTGCATAATCAGATTCTACATTCTGTATATCAAATTGATTTGACCTTTTGGGAAATTGTAAAATGTCCAAGCAGGGAATGGGCAGAGACACGGGAGACATTTATGCTGGGTGTGGATACATCGAGGATGTATGTCATGCCCTATTCAAAGTAAAGTGAAACATTACTGGAATGTTTTTTAATCAAATGTTAGCAAAGCTTTACAAAGAGGGACACAGACATACTTCTTGTACTTCTCTTCCACTTCATTTCAAAAGCACGGTTGAGGATTAAATTATTAGCCCCTGTGAAATATAAAGCAGAAAAGGATTAAAGGCCAGTAGATGTTCTAAGGATGAGTTTTCTTTGGGGATCATCAATTATTTGTATACAAAGTTATCACAATCTTTCCAAATGCCAAGAAATGGAGTGAGAAGTATCATTAAGAAATTCAAAGAGAGACCCCCAGGACAGAACACGCCTGACTGAGGTAGGACGAGAAAG